CCCTCCCAGTCTCCGTTATGGGCGTGCGGCCCCGCCCCCCCCCGCCAGCGGGTGGTGGGGGGGGGGGCGGCTGCCGCGGGCGAAGAAGGATCCGAGCAGCAGCACGAACACCGAGGAGAGGTGCCCGGCTCGGAGGCGGAGCCACAAGAAGAAGAGGAGGTGACGGCTGTCACCGTAATGGCGGCAGAAGCCGAACACATCGAGATGGGGGCCGAGTCCCTGCCGAGTGCCGACGAGGCCGCCGCAGCCGCTGCCTTTGCAGGTCGGCGCGCATGCGCACAAGTGCGCCACCCGCCGGTCATTGAGCGCGGGTCCTGACTGTGGGTCGTGTGGTGATCATTCGCTTGTGTGAATGGTTCATCCCGCGAGTATTACCTCCAAGCGTTTCCACTTTGAGTGGAAACGGTTTCGATCTTATTCACCTACCCGTAGTACCTCATGATGAGGTTATATACATACATGTGTGCATCATCCCTGACGTCAAGAAAGTGCAGAAAATGCCACCTTCTCGTCTGCATTACTTTAGTTGTGCTGTTTCTTATCCCTGACAGGACTGTGATATCATTCACGACGGTCTGACAGGCAGAAATCTTGCATTTCTCCATCACAGTGCCTTAGTTAGAGGAAAATGACCTGCTGAATTTTTGATGTCAGCATCTGAGTAATTTAGTTGGGGTACTTGATGAATAGCAACCAACAATTATTGTAGCTTTGTCCATTTGCATTTTGAGATGCTATAACAAAAGATATTGGGACTGATTAAAATATGCAAGAGCAAAAGCAGGCAGATTAAATATTACACACTAAAACCTCACCCAATAATTATTGATCTGCAACAATCAGTTAAAATAAGGTTCTCAGATTATAAATAGGGAGAAGGATTCCTTTTCTCCCTTACCTTTGGCTATCTTGCACATGATCCCTGGGAGCTCTGTTAATAAAGCCACTGTTTATATAAACATTGGAGATTGATAGGTAGATAAAAACTGTACCTTCAGTAGAGAACCAATATTAAGATATCATTCTATAGATGTCTTATTTAGCAGGACATGTGCATATTTTGCTTCTTGGATTTTGGCAGTTCTGAAGGAGGATATCACAGAAAATTTTATTTGGGTCATGTTTTACAGAAGTGACCACAGTAACAGTAGCCAATGTGGGTGCCTCTGCAGACAATGTATTCACTACTTCTGTGGCAAATGCAGCATCTATCTCAGGACATGTATTGGTAAGGTCAGGTTTAGTTAATCTTACAATATTTTTGCATATTCCATATTTCCTTTGTGGTAGAAAGTATCTAATTTAAATGTGTGTTGTAGCTATGAAGTTCATTATGTAATCAAATTGCACAGATTTGAGTTAGCAATTTTGTATTGGGGATGAGCAAAATAAATATGGCTGGATTTGCACAACACAGACTAGCCATTAACTAGGTTGGCTAGTTTCTAATTCATTGTGTTGTATGAATCCAGGCAAATGGTTAACTCAGTTAACCACAGTTCAGTTAAACATGGGTTAATGTCTTCTGTCATTTTCTTCTTTATTATTCTTTGCCCACAAAGGAATTAAATGCTGTATCTCCAGTTAAATGGAGGCAAATATCAGCAGTGTCACTTAGCAGAGAACTGCACCTAATTGCTAATAAATGTATAAAACCACCTTTTATATTATAATACTTGCAGTGTATCTGGTTCTGCTGAAACCATTGACTTCTCTGGGACCCTTTCCTCTGGCTGGCACAGAAATAAATGTTGGTCCACATAGAGCTTGCATTTTGTACTGTCAGGTCTAGATTACTAAACCTCCTGAGGCAAGGAGCTTTTGTCTGATTCTGTATAAGATGCCATAGGCACGGATAGTATGGCAGGACAAAAATAATAATAATAATAATAATAATAATAATAATAATAATAA